GTCTTATCAGTTGCTGTGTCAAACTTGGCTGACTACCTGCACGGGAAAGGCCTGGTTTTAAACCCTGACAAGACGCAGGTCTTAGCCATTGAGGCATCACGCCGTAGTACCCTGGAACTCAACGTTAACTGCAACGGGACGCCTCTCACCCAGACCACCACTGCTCGCTTTCTGGGCCTACAGATCGATTCCTGTCTTCGGTGGGACGCGCAGGTCTCCAGCATAGTACGTAAAACTTCCCAGAAGCTAACCACCCTGAGAACCATCCGCCCGTCGCGATCTGAACGCCAGTCGCTCCTCTTCTATTCTGCCCTTATACTTCCTGACATGCTTTATGGATCAAACGCGTTCTTCTCTGCCCTCACGGCTCAGCAGCGGCACCAGCTCACTGTCCTCGACAAGCGATGTGTTCGCTGCGTAGCCAATCTGCCCTTCCCGTCCCATACCACTCCTATATACACTCGCCTTTCCCTGACCCCTGTAATTGAACGTGCCAAATGCAAACTTCGTTTCCTTATGCACCGTGTCCACACCAGCAGCATCAGCCCTCTTCTGAAAGATAGAGTAGCCCTCCAACCTCCCAGTAACACCCGTGGCAATGACAATTGCAAATACGTTGTTCCGCTAACTCGGCGAACATCTGGCGACAGCCGACCATTGGTTTCCGCGCTGAAGCTTTGGAACACCCTGCCACAGGAACTCACGTCCACTCGTCGTCCAACCCCGTTTAAAAGATTGCTGAAAGTGTTTTTCTACGGTTAATATGGCCGAATAGCACCTCCCTCTGGCATAGGTCCTCATCTTCCTATTTCTCTCTGATTGTTACTTTGTTCGAACTTGACTTGTAAGTATATAATAAATGTAGAGCCGAAGGATTTATTGCAATTACATACCAGTATAAAAACTGAGGTCCGCCGAGGTTTTTTATAACTGGTATGTAATTGCAATAAATCCTGAGGCTACTACATTTATTATACATATGTTGACCTTCACTTTCCCTAAAAAGGAGTAGTTTATAAACAGTATTTATTGGCCCTAGTGGTATTTTATAAACAGTATTTATTGGGTCAAAAGCCAATAAATACTGTTTATAAAATACCACTAAGGCCAATAAAATTAATACTGTTTATAAAATACTCCTTTTTAGGGAAAAGTGGAGTGCTACATGGAAAAGTACAGTGGTATTTATTGAGTCAAAGCAAATTTATATGAATTTGCTACTGTTGATGGTGTGGTCACTAATGAGTGTGGGTATTTATCAAAGGTCAATATATTTGATAAATATGGTGGTAAAGACACACCTGGCAGTATGGCGGTAAACACACGCCTGCCCACACACGCTCTCAATATATTTACCGGTATAAATACTTTTGACTGTTTTCTCATTTTCGCAAGTGAAGCTTTATCGAGCCACACTTTTTATTCTATCGCCATCATAATATTGGGCATCAATGGCCGTTTGGTTTGCGATGTAAAATAAAACTTCACACAAACAAACAAACATGTGACCTATACATACTAGGCTATGGTGCAACTGTAAGGCAAAATCCGAGTGCGAATTTCGCTACAAAATAGTCTGATTGAATCTCAACTGGCAAGTAGAGTGGTATTACTGTGTAAGGAGTGATTTGACAGCCCATTCTGGTAAACTGGCATGAAAACCTGCTCTTTTTCCAGATTTTCCTTACAATGTACATTGCACGGTCATAGGGTACAATCATGTACTTAGCCCTTGGCGGATTAGGGGTCGTCTGGGGTTACCGATTGTTTTTACAAAACGAAAAGTTTTAGTAATTTTCAGCCCCCACCCACCCACCCACCTTTTCTGCAGGTAAAACGAATTTCAATAAAATATTGATGTCAATTTTCGACATCCAGCAATAACTGGGCATTCTCCATCAGCATTCAATAATTATTTTCAAAACGAAACTCCATCAAACCCACCCACCCACAAACGAAAACATTTCGTTTTGAAAATATTATTGGTAACCTTGGACGGCCCCTTATGCTCCGTGAATTGCTGAATTATGCTTCTCATTATGCCCAAATTTTGCCAGTGATTACGCTACATTATACTGGAATTATGCCAATGATGGTGCTATGCTGTACCCTTGCAATCTTGTTGCACTTTGCAACGTTACAACGACTCTGGCTCCATGACGGCACGGTTTATAAGGGGTAACATTCACCAGGTTATTTCCTGTAACATGCCTAAATATGTCTGGAGCATTACTCTTCAGCCAGCATCGTAAGGGTATGCCGACCGTCTGGTCTCAGAAGTCCTTTTACGCCAGGGCATATTTTTAGACAAAGTCCGAAGATTATGCCAGCATAATAGAAATTATGCCAGCTTAGAATCAACTCGTAAAAACTCCAAGTCAATCTCCCATTGACACAAACCTCGTTTATTCAACATAATCATATCCTATCCAATAAAAACAGTTCATAAAAACAGTTCATAAAAACAGTTTATAAAAACAGCTTTTTAGGATCGGACCCAGTCCGCATAACCAAGAGAGCTAGCTCCCTCGGCTGCTGTTGGAATATGCAAGAATGGGCCTTCCAGATAAGGTCTAACAAGGAGAAGTGGCTAAAGTTATGAAATGAACACCGGTAATCATGGAGACAGACCACACTCTCATTGTAGATGTCGTGTCCGTGTGTTGCTATCTGTATTATATTCCGTCTGCTCCTACATGTATCTTTGTCAAGTGTTTGCCGTGGCGTCGATGTGTCTCGCCTATGAATAGCGTTGGGAAACATATCACTATTCATGCTTTCCTGGCTGGCTGCTCGCTCCCTTCGCTCCTTCAGCTTGCACGCTACTATAATTATAGCAGTATATAGCTCGATGCTTTGCGTCGATCCGTAGTTGTTGTTCTTGTTGCTTCTCGGTTGCTTGGAACTTGGTCCTAGAGTGAAGCTTTGGTCTTCTTGTGTGGTGAGGGTGAGGAATGGGTATCTGGACTCCTGGTATATTTCCGTAAAGAACCTGGAATTGTAGAATCCTGATCGTATGTCTGGCCCACTCCCCGGTCATGACATTTGGCGACCACGCCAGGATGTCCAGTGCCACTAACATTCCGAACCCTCGGCAGCGAGAGGGAGCGCTGCCAATAGCTATCGCTACCACACGGTCACCACAGCCCGTCCTGGGTACGACGATAAACTGCACCCTGGCGACCGCGGTTGGTCACCATCACCAACGCGCCCGTCCCGGAGCATGACGTTAAACTACTGGACGTAGCCAGAGCTGGAGAGGAGGTACATCGAGGAAGTCAAGATCAAGGCAACACGCAAACGGGAGCCGCGGATTTCAAGTGAAGTTAGTTCGGGTCAGTTACCAGTTCCTGGACACGTTTCTGGTCTTGTTACCCGTCTAGTCTTGATTTGTCTTATTCGTTCATAATGATAGTAACACAGAAGCAATCCCTGCAGGCTGACCAATAGCTTGTTCGAACGTAGTTGTAACGGCATAACTTATTTTTCTAACACTGCTGTGGCTGAGAGTCTGTGCAAGACTGGCGCATATGTTTTCTTTGGTTCTTGGGTCGGAAGAGGTTGGTTCCTCCTTTTCAAGTTTTCAAGAGTTTTATTGTTTTGCTTTTTTTTTCAGTGCCGGTACTTTTCTTCTGTTACGAGGACGTAACATGTTCGTAGGCGGGGGATATGTCGTGTCCGTGTGTTGCTATCTGTATTGTATTCCGTCTGCTCCTACATGTATCTTTGTCAAGTGTTTGCCGTGGCGTCGATGTGTCTCGCCTATGAATAGCGTTGGGAAACATATCACTATTCATGCTTTGCTGGCTGGCTGCTCGCTCCCTTCGCTCCTTCAGCTTGCACGCTACTATAATTATAGCAGTATATAGCTCGAAGCTTTGCGTCGATCCGTAGTTGTTCTTGTTGCTTCTCGGTTGCTTGGAACTTGGTCCTAGAGTGAAGCTTTGGTCTTCTTGTGTGGTGAGGGTGAGGAATGGGTATCTGGACTCCTGGTATATTTCCGTAAAGAACCTGGAATTGTAGAATCCTGATCGTATGTCTGGCCCACTCCCCGGTCATGACATAGATACTGGTTATAAATAGACCGAATAAGGAAAATGATCTGATAGCCTATGAAGAGTAAAAGAAATTGAACCAATGACAACAAATACTCGTCCAGCACACGAGTTGTCATAGCAACACAAATAACAGCTGTCCACTAATTTTGTTGTTGGAGATTGAGTAGGAGTTTTTACTGGTTGATTCTAAATACAATAAATGCCCCGGCCTTGGGTTTATGACCAATAAAAACTAATAAAAAAACCTCGGGAGACCTCGGTTTTTATAATAGTTTTTATTGGTCATAAACCCTCGGCCTCCTCATTTATTGTATACATAATAGAAATAGGGCTGAAGCAATTATACCGATAACTCGCATATCGATCGTTAAGAGTGCAATCGATAATCGTTAGTGTTCAAAACGAGTGCTAACGATTTTTATGCATTCATATGAGTGGCAGTATTCTAGCCCTTGCACTCCATCCGATAGTGAATACGAGTACAATCATGTAATTTCAAGTGCAAGAAAATTGAGTTGTGGCTTTGAAAGAGATCGGGAGGGAAGACTTTGTCTTTTTGTTTCACTTCTGGGAGAGGTCGGAGATAAGAGCAGTTGCCAGAGGGTGATGACAAGATTCAGATAACAACAGTGCGGTGCCACAAATCTCTAACATAGCAAAGGTATCATGGAATTTCTTCCTAAACTGGTGTTCGAGGTACACGGGTAGAGCCAACAAGAATCGATAAAACCAATATATCGATCGTTAATGATATTGGCTGATCGTTTCAGCCCTAAATAGAAATTATGCCAGCATAATCCGTCAAGGGCTACGTGTACTTGTGACAAACGTCTAAGTTATGCCAACTGTGCTACTCCGACCTAGGCACTTTGCAAACTTCACTGCAAAGGCGTAGTGTGTGCTGTCCCCATGAAAAATCGCGGAGGAATTTCTCCGAGAATGTGGACTGCAAAATATTCGGAATGTGAAAAACACGCTGAGAGTGAAATGAAGGAAACAATCATTATTGCAGCAAAATGCTGTGGGCTGCGCCGGAGTCTCAACATAGAGAAAATGAATGTGGTGTATGTGCAGCCTCTGATGAATGTGGTGTATGCGCAGCCTCTGTTGAGCTCCAAGCATGACCTGATACAGGCATAATGATTCCCTGCCGCACTCATGGACTTGGGAATTTGTCTTGCACCTGACGCCTAGCAGGGAGCCCTACGCTAACTAGTTAGACAATGTTACGGAGATGCAAGGGGCTCCTTGCTGCACAAGCAATGCTAACTTTTTCAACTCAGATGGAGAGTGAAGGATTAAAAAAAAGAAAAGGACTAAAGGTATACAATTTGAAACTCGGGTATTGAGCCAATAATAAAAGCAGAATTGAAAAATTGGTTTCCATATGTCCTTTTCCTTTCTACAAAAGGTATAAGCAATTTATCGGCAGTTTTCCAACACTTATACTTTGAAGTACAACCAAGATCGTGACTGGTGGGTCAAACTGTGCATCAGCACATTCCGCAACATGGTGAACAATCTGCGGCTATAAAGAAAGATCCTATCAAGCTATTCTTTTCCCACCAGACTCTGGGATAACCTATCTGAAGTAAATACCTAGAGTAAGAATGTACACTGAATACCGTGGCTGAGCACGGTGTGCACTATAAGCACAGCTAACTGTTACAAGCTATCTCGGCGGCGCTACTGTGTTCTATCCAGCCTAAAATTGTGCAGTGCGAAAGTAGTGCCATAGTGGGTGATCTGGCGACCACGATATTGATTCTACACCCTTGCACCGCAACACCTAGTGACTACAAACAAAAAGATTGATTCTACAGCCTTGCACCGCAATATCTACTGACTACAAACAAAAAGACAAGTTGGATCCTAGAAAGTCATCTTCTGTTTGCAGATTATCTTAGCCACCAGCAAGAGTAGCAGTAGCAGCAGCGGATAGTCTAGAGTCTGATGATTTGTTCAGGTGGTCGGTGTTAGTCTGGTAATCATAGGTCTAAATGGATGGGTGTTTGGTGTGTGTATGTGTTTGGTGTGCGTGTGTGCGTGTGTGTGTGTGTGTGTGTGTGTGTGTGTGTGTGTGTGTGTGTGTGTGGGTGTGTGTGCGTGTTCCTCCGTGACTTTGTGACCAGTCATATAGTGTGCTATTCCTACAGGTCATGTCTATCTTCATCACTACGCATGGCAATAATATCAGTTCAGTGTTGTCCCTTTGCCAATGTTATTCTCCGTGGATGGACCATGCTTTGTCACGGTATTCTCCATCTCGCTACTCACTTCGAGGAGCAGAGAAGCCATGCTCTCAGCATTGTTCATCTTGGCCACTTGGACAGGGAGAGGAGACGTCATGCTTGGCTTGTTCTATTTCCTCGCCATCCTCAGCATCTTCAGTAGGCACAGCATGACCAGCATCGTCGTCCTCAGGATGACCGGCATCATCATCATCATCCTCATCCTGGCCGTCATACTCAACATCATCTTCATCGTTAGAGATGCCATCATCGTTTGACGATGTCATTTTCTCCGCCTTATCCGTTCTTGATGGTGCTTCCACATCTGGGTGATTTCTGCGCCGGTGCCGTCTGCAATGGCTGGGGTCCCTGAACGTTTGTCCGCAAAGATCACATGCGTACGGCTTTTCGCCATTGTGAGTCAGCATGTGCCTGGTCAATTCGCAGCTGGCTACAAAACTCTTGTCACACACCGGACACTGATTGGGCCTCTCTCCCGTGTGGCTGCGTCGATGCTTGCTGAAATGCGAATGGTCACTGAATCCTCGTCCGCACGTCTCGCAGGTCATTGGTTTTTCACCGGTGTGAATACGCCTATGTGTAGTCAGCATACTAGACTGGCTGAAGGCTTTGCCACACACATCACACTTGTACGGCCGCTCGCCGGTGTGTACACGCATGTGCTCCTTCAAAGTAGATCTTTGCCGGAAAGTCTTGCTACACGATGCGCATGAAAACGGCCGTTCACCGGTATGCACTCTCTTATGCTTGGTTAGTGTATTCTGATGAGTAAAAGACCGATTACAGCTATCACACTTGTAGGGCTTGGCCGTAGTTACTGCCTCTTGCCGGGCGGCATACAATACCTTGTTGTTTTGCGCTGCATGAAGAAGTTCATGGGATGCCAGGTTCCCACGCTTTGTGAACTTCTTCCCGCAAATTTCGCAGGAGAGCTGCTTTTGCTTTCCATGGCAAGGGTGTCTCTGGTGTGCAACAGGGTCATCAAAGAACTGGTTACACTTTGCACATCGGTATTGACGACCGCCGTTGTTGTTGCTGTCTACGCCTTCAGCTTGCAGTTGCAATGTATTCTGCAGGAAGTACATTGAAGCTACAATGGGCTTAGGGCAGACAATGGTATCATGACCAGGTATCTCATTGTGCTGGCTGTGGCTGGTGTTACGGTAGTGTGGCTGAGACATTCCAACTGAGGTCGCTGCTGCAACTAATGTGGGTAACGTTGACAATGGCTGGCCATTCGTCATTTCATCAATAGCCAACAGAGAAGAGTCCACGTTTACTACACTAATTCTTTCAGAAGTCACCAGTAGCCCCATTGTCTGTGCGGCTTGGGCACTGGGGGAAGTAGCTTGGGCACCGGTGGAGCTAGCTCGGGCACTGGCGGAGCTAGCTTGGGCACTGGTGGAGCTAGCTTGGGCAATGGTGGAGCTAGCTTGGGTACTGGTGGAGGTTGCTTGGCCACTGGTGGAGGTTGCTTGTGAGCTGGTGGTGGTGGCTTGGGCACCGATGGAGGTTGTTTTGGCACTGGTGGAGCTAGCCTGGGCAGCAGTACTATGAGAGTTGACTTGCGCAGGATCACTAGCTGGAGTCGAATGAACAAGCACGCCTGTTGTCTTGGCAGCACTGGGCATGCTTTTGAATGCTGATAAATCTGCAACCAGCACCATTGGGCTGTAGATTTTGGGCTCAGTAATTGCAGACGTGACACTACTACTACTACTACTACTACTACTACTACGAACCTGATAAGGTGGCGATGGGAGATCGTCAAGGTTCGATGATGACTCCGGTTGCCTCCTTCGCCTTCCTCCAAACAGAGCCGACGAAATGGCGGTTCGCGGAGTCTGCTGCTGGTGTTGGTCAGAGAATTGTGCTGTATTACTTTTCAAGGATGAAGATCTACTCTTGTTAGCCTTGTGCTCCTGCGCCTTGTGCCTTTCTGATAAACTGCTCATAGACCGTGACTCCACATCATCCAATAACCTGTCATACGCTGATACTGATGACGGTGATGACGGTGATGACGTTGATGGTGATGCCACGGTAGCAGCAGCAGGAGTAGAAGGAATGCCACTGCTAAACGAAGAACCCAATGAAGGACCAGGCAGGTCAAGGACCTGTGTTGATTCACACGCTTGCGTCGCCTTTTTACTCCTTTTCTGGTTTCGCTTAGGAGTCGTCCTATTGCTGCATTGGCGTTTTCTCTTTTTGGCAGAAAGGACAGTGCTGGTGGTGCTCGAAATCGAATCACTGGCATCACTGGGATGGAGTGGAGATGGTTCATCACCATTGGGATGGTGTGACGATGGTTCATCAGAGAAGCCATTCACATTGATCTTGCTGTTGCGTTTTTTGTCTAGGTAGCAAATAGTGCAGTGCGTACACGCACGTACGCACGCACGCACGCACACACACACACACACACACACACACACACACACACACACACACACACACACACATACAAGTGTTTATTTGAGTAAGTTAACTTATACTATAGTTTAAACCTTTTGAGCCTGGGCCCATTGAAAACCTCTGCCACGCAGTAAAACATTTAATTCACTCTATGTGAGCAAACTTGATTTCAAACGATTCTTTCATGTCTCCTGAACACAGAACTGGTTTTTTGTTTTGGAAATGCGACAAAGATTACAAAAGTTATGACCGTTTTCAGAAAGGTAGTTTTACGCGAAATTGGTATTTTGAAATGTATGCACGCGCATGTAACTCCAGTTCAAACTTACGGAGCGACTCGCATTTTTTTATTGTATTCGTACATCCTAGGAGTCCTCTGTGCAGCGGTACAGCTCGACGCCACGTCACGGAAGAAACGCGGCATCGATGTAGTTCCGTACTGACTCGTGACGTTCTAGAACGTCACGCCTGTTACAGTGGCAGTGGTCATGACGTGTCAGAACGTCACGCGTGCTCAAAAGGTTAACTTACAGTTCTAACTTACGAGGGAAGCACCTCGTATGCAAAGAGTGCTGGAAATGCCGTGGAGGCATACCGCAGAACAGTCAAACAGTGGTCAAACAGTGGTCAAACAGTGGTCAGACAGTGGTCAAACAGTGGTCAAACAGTGGTCAGACAGTGGTCAGACAGTGGTCAGACAGTGGTCAGACAGTGGTCAGACAGTGGTCAGACAGTGGTCAGACAGTGGTCAGACAGTGGTCAAACAGTGGTCAGACAGTGGTCAGACAGTGGTCAGACAGTGGTCAGACAGTGGTCAGACAGTGGTCAGACAGTGGTCAGACAGTGGTCAGACAGTGGTCAGACAGTGGTCAAACAGTGGTCAGACAGTGGTCAGACAGTGGTCAGACAGTGGTCAGACAGTGGTCAGACAGTGGTCAGACAGTGGTCAGACAGTGGTCAGACAGTGGTCAGACAGTGGTCAGACAGTGGTCAGACAGTGGTCAGACAGTGGTCAGACAGTGGTCAGACAGTGGTCAGACAGTGGTCAGACAGTGGTCAGACAGTGGTCAGACAGTGGTCAGACAGTGGTCAAACAGTGGTCAGACAGTGGTCAGACAGTGGTCAGACAGTGGTCAGACAGTGGTCAGACAGTGGTCAGACAGTGGTCAGACAGTGGTCAAACAGTGGTCAGACAGTGGTCAGACAGTGGTCAGACAGTGGTCAAACAGTGGTCAGACAGTGGTCAGACAGTGGTCAGACAGTGGTCAGACAGTGGTCAAACAGTGGTCAAACAGTGGTCAGACAGGCTCTGTGCCGGTTGTAACTCAGAATGCCATGCACAACTGTGCAATCATGTGTCTGCTGAAATTTCTTCATTTAAAATTCGCTGGAATTGCCAGTGTATCTCCGTTTAAAGTATTTAAATAACCGACGAGGAGACAACAGTCACACGAAAACGTTGTGACATGGAAATTGTGGGTACAAGTTATGCGATCGAGTCCACCAACTAAACCAGATTTCGAACAGTCAGACGTGCACAATCTAGCACAAAACTGACAGGGAGTATTGAGACATTCCACGGCTTGAAAGTCAGCTTGAGCACTGCTCGATAGCGCTAACCAACGGCCTTCCAACTGGGAAGGTTCATGGATATTAGTGCCAATTCCAAAGAAGGGAAGGCGAGCGCCATCGAGCCGAGCGCAAGCTACATTCCAAGGCTTCATGGAATGCTGGCCTGGGATGATGACGGCATAACTTGTGCATAACTTGGGCATAACTTGTGCCCACAATTTCCCATGTTACATAAAATTAATCTTCAAGCTTTGCTGGCATGCACGCTTCTCACTGAAATTCGTTTTAGCCCAGTAGCCCAGTGGCCCAGTAGCCCAGTGGCATTTCTATGTAAACATTCAGCGGTCGCATTTCAGTTGCTACCGTTATCTGACGTCTTATTGATCTTACTCGGTCAGTGCTTAGGTACTCGGCCACGAGCACTGCTGGTCCATTTTTTTACAGTATGTACGTAAACTACATGTACGTGCGCTGAAAGCAGTAAGGGTGCCGGCCCCACTCATCCCATCGGATTTCAATGACAACGCAGGGGCGTAGGAGGGGTTTTGGAAGTGGTACGACCAAAGGTTGGTGGGCCGAAGGCCGTGTTGGAGGGGGGTCCAGGGGACCTCCCCCGGAAAATTTTGTAAAAAAGACACAAAATCCTGCGTTCTGGGAACTTCTGGCGCAGTGTGCAGTCGAGTCGAGTACAGTACTCAGCACGACTGAAGATGCATAACAGATCTACGAGTACGAGTCTAGAAAAAGGTCAAAGTCTGATGCGCATATGCATACCGATGGATCCTGACTTTTTTATTACGGTTTTGCACGTTCCGGACGAACCACACTTTTCGAAAAGTGGTACGAGGTGATTTGTAATAATTTCACATGAAAGTAAAAAAGGCTATCTTTCCGTTGCCCTGGCGAGTATTGAAGTGTGCATAGTCTCATTCTGTCACTATGTATGTCCTCTATCCACGTATGGACTTCTTGATCGAACGCCACAAACATGAGAGACACAGTGTGGGGTTGCTTTGCATGCATTTTTTCACCCAGAAAAAGTGTGTACAAAATTTTACAAGTCAGTAAAATAGGGTCTAACATCAACAAATATGACCTAAATGTGTCAATAAGCTTGCAATGGGAAATCAAGATACATCTGAAGCAAGTCACATGCAGAGAAAGCAGACTGGTTTCGCAGGTTGCCCAACGTATTGGTTTCTGTACGTCGTCAACTGCGGTTCAAAACGATAGGGTATCTTTGACCGCCTGCCGGCATTGTAGACCATGAGCACGCAGACCTTATCTTGCTGCTCCATTTCTTTCAATTTGCAGTGCATCCTCATGCGTGAAATAACCACACTAAGCAAAGATACCATCCATGATGTGCGCCAGGCGTCCCACAACAGGGTGCCTTCGTGCATCTGGGCCACAGTGCATTTAACCGGCACATACTGACAATGTCGGGGCTTCCATACTCTCCAAGACAAGTGCAGTGACTCCTTCACCTGATTCATATACTTCTGTGTTGGAAGAAGGCTGCAGACCACCCTCAACGGGTGCTCCGCCGTCAACACCCAACATACATTCATGCCGCATTTCCTGCATTTGCAGGCTTTGCCATCGTGAATCTCTACCAGCACTTTTGAGGTAGCAAGCTGAGTTTCATACGTAGGTCTACTGAACAGCTAATTATTTACCTGTATGCCATAAGCATCAGCAGCTTCGGACTTGGATTTGAATCACCTTTCATGATAGGTTAGTGAAAGACACATTTTGTCAAAATTGCAGTTTCTGACCTTCACCTTTTTGGCTAATCTCTTCTTCAGCCCTGCTACTTTGACGGTGTGACAGACTCAATGCTGGCATCGGTGACCAGCCTAGGGTTTCCACCTGCCGTAGAATACGCTCGCTGGCTCTTGGACGTCCTTCAAGCATCCATTGAGGGATATTTTACCTCTTTGACCACAAATTCACGAATTTCAATCCATGATTGATATCTCACAAGGCCGCGGAAGAAAAAAATTCCGCTAAACGCTGCCGATGCTTACAAACTACAATACAATGGCAACTGACTTGTCTGTCGAACTAACAAAAACACTTCATGGGAAGAATGCAATCGCCCTCAACAATGATATTTGACTCGATTTGTAAAATAATATGCCATGTAAATTTTTTACAAATCACCTCGTACAGCCATGGTCGTACCAGTCGTAGCGGGTGCTACGCCCCTGCAACGACAGTAGGAAGTAAGACTACAGACTAGTACAGAACGCTCTCTCTCTCTCTCTCTCTCTCTCTCTCTCTCTCTCTCTCTCTCTCTCTCTCTCTCTCTCTCTCTCTCTCTCTCTCCGTCTCTCCATCTCTCAGCCTGTGTGTCTCTCTCTCTATGTCTCTCTCTCACTCTATCTATCTCTCTCTCTTTCTCTCTCTCTCTCTCTCTCTCTCTCTCTCTCTCTCTCTCTCTCTCTCTCTCTCTCTTTCTACGTGAATGGTGCAAGTCCTGAGCACATGGCAGCATCACCTTGGCCTGGCCCAGCCCCCCCCCCCCCCCCCCTTTCAGGACTGGTCACAGCTAATGCAATGAGTGTGCTGAGTCTGCAGTACAAGTGATAGGGCCAGCGGTACCAGGGCTAGGCTGGTATAGTAGAAGTCGTACAGCACACAAAGCAACAGGTCATATTACGCGGTTTAGCAAGCACCAACTCAGTACGTACCTGTACTAAGGCTAACAGTAAGGCTAAACCCCCTGTAATATGATCTGGACAGAAGATGTCAGAACCATCCCAACTGTCACATGATTGATTTTACATGTACAAAGTAAATACACAATGCTACATGAGTGCGACACACACACACACACACACACACACACACACACACACACACACACACACACACACACACATATACACCACACACACACACACACCACACACACATATGCACACACACGCGCACGCGCACATACACACACACATAGGCATGCGCACATACTCATGCATGCACGCACACACACACATGCAAACACCCGTACACGTACAAGCGCAGCGCAACCTGTTCACATAAATCTAAACAAATCGACTCACTCTTTTGAAGAGAACTGCTCTTTCCTTCGCTTGACTTATTCTCCGCAACAAGAGAAGCAGACGACGCAGATTTCTCCACGCCAACGGTTGGTGTTTCAGGCTTGGTTTTCGCGTCAGCCTGGTCATCGTCCGGGTTTGGTCCTGCCACGGTCTTGTCGCCATCATCAGCATTCTGGCACTGCGAAGCCAGCAGCTTTCTTGTGCTATTTTCCATGGTCTTCAAGGATCCAGCACTGTTACACAGAATATGAGAAACCGTACTACAAGTAACTAGTTGCTTTCTTCGGACAGCGCGCACGCTGACCTACAGTAACGTAATGTCGTTGTGTTCCGGACAAGTGAACAATCACATAAACCATGGACTACTGAAGTGCTACGCATACATCCATGCACAAAACTAAGCGCAATAGCCAGCGATCAGGGGAGATTGGTAATTTGTACACACGAAGTTTCCAATCCAGCCACCGCAGACAGTCCGTGTCAGTCAGTACGTATCATTACCACAGTAACTCAGGCGCAGCTCTTGATTTCAGATTTCAACAAAACCAGAACTAACCCAAACTCACCCTGCGCTCGAGTCTTTATAGGCTACACTCCTGCTGCTGCTGCTGTTTGACTTTGCGAAGTTGCCTACGACGCCACGTATATCTCCAGCGATGAGCAATTAGAACATTCAAACTACACACAGAAGTAGATCCTGGTCATCGCAATTAAAAACGCAATGCTACCGCTTGCTCTAAGTAGTATCTCTGTTCTCCGGTGGACAATGGCGTGCAAGAAATACGGTTCTGAAGCAGTGGGGAATTACGACAGGGTACTACGCCATGACGCCACTGCTTTGACGACACACTGAGCTGCAGCGACTAAGGCCCTTTGAAATAGAACGGCTACTGGACTTGCAGCGAACTGCTAGCGCGGAGCGCGGAGTTCTGAACAGAAGTACTGATTACTGTGCGTAGTACACACTACGCAGCACAGTGTGTTCACTTCACTCCCTGTCGTTCCGGCTGGCGCTAGTGTGCACAAAGTGAGCTTGGAGGTCGATTGGCCACCACCATGCATTTTGTGGCTGCAACTCACTTTACACGCACGCATGCCACTGGTACTGGCCAGCTCATGTACATGACTCATGAGCCTGATGATGAGGTGCATAGGTGCCACAGACTACCTGTACAGGCTGTAGTGGCTCACCCAGGCAGGCCGTATAGTAGTCCCACGCTATTTCAGTATTTGGCCGCAGTACTCACGATTGGTGTGCATGCGACGAGTGTCCCAGGTCGTGTTGAGTGCCATGTGCGTGCCTCGACTCGATCCACTCTCGATCTCTACGACGACTCTACTATGACTGTACTAGCTGATTCAAGTGCTCTGCATCATGTCACTGACAGTCATCACTACTCTCCAGTACTGAGTAGTACTCCTGCCCCAGCCTCTGCCTCTGGTATGCGTTGCCTGCCCTACTACCACTAGTCGTTGTACTGTCTTGTAGTATGTTGTTGTAGATTCTACAGTCTACACTGTAGGCTGTAGTCAGTACAGGCTGTTCTCGCAGCTTGCTGGGGATCCCACTGCAGTCTGCATGCACTTGGTCGGCGCGGGCTTTGTGGTGACTCTGACTGTCACGTCACTGAGTTACGTGAGTAAATATTGTAGTACAAGTGCATGGTGTGATTTTCACGGGTCCCACACACAAAATAATGCTGCGCACAACGCTCGTACCCGCAGTTACTTATCGCGGGCGGTGGCCGTGCCAGGTATACATGTATGTACTGTACTGGAGTGCTACTACACACGTCACGGTAGTAGTAGAGTAGAGTTTTAATACATGACTGTACATGTACGACTGCAAGTGCGAGATCTCCGTGTGAACCTACCCGCCGGTACCATGATTGTACCAGTTCGTGTGCGACTGTAACTACTTTACCCAAAAATACGCTTTTTTGCGAAGGCATTGGACCGATCCGATTGATTATTATTATTACACGCATTCCCGCGTTGAAGTGTAGCAGCAGTATGCTGCGTCCACAGCTTCGCTTATGCAGAATGGCTTGGGTGAGAGGAGAGGGGAGAGAAAGCAACAAGGCAACCAACATCTATGAAATTGGTCACAATAACATGAAGAGAACCAACCTACATATGCATGATTGCACAAGAATGGAGACGACCAAATATAATGGCTATAATCATCCGATTGATGGGTAAATAATTTAAAATAATTATAAAATCGTCATCTTCATGGCTTTTGCCGTTTTGGTTCATGTATGTTTATTGTTTTAGAGCTGCAATTTTTGTATTCTATTATTTCTTCTACATCATCAGTACATGTACAAGTACATGATTGTATAATTGAGGTTCAAGTTACCGTTCAACACGATCATTTCACTAATATTTTTCGATATTAGTGAAATGATCCTGTTGAACCTCAATAATAAAATAAGAATAACAACCTTTGTTTGCCAATGGAATATACCGGTACATGTACGTGTCTTCTTTCCTTTCAGTTGCATCTTCCTCTCTGCTATGTTTTATTTTCTCTTTTCGTTCGTCCCTCTTGATATTTGTACTTTGTACTGTTGAGGCAACGAACTGAAATAATAAAAACCAAACCAAACCAAACCAAATGTGTACAATGTAAATTGTACATGTACATGTATATGTACATGTTGTGTAGTCAAAGGTAGGCCTTGACGGATTATGCTAATATTTTCGTGAAGTTATGCTTTTCGCATTGCTGAAAAAATTGCAGAATTATGCTATTTTTATGCTAAAAGTTCTCATATTATGCCGCATTATGCTCACATATGCTGCTAATGCATAATGGTTCTGCGCAAAATAACAGGGGAATTTTTTTGTAGAGGGTGTTGTACTGTAGTAGCAAAAGTTCAACGGGGTCAACGCACCGTCCGACCTGGCTACGACCATCAGTGATTGTAGTGGACTGGACATGTTATCAAGGGATTCGTAAACCTACAACTTCCTAGTGCATCTACTTGTACTTTTACTTGTAGAACATGTCCAACTGTATGGAATTTGATGCGAACAGGCGGATTATTACAATTTTATGCGATTCGTATGCAATTTGCCTCGAATTATGCGATTATTCGATTTTGGTAGGAATTATGCAAAAAATTATGCTACCATAATCCGTCAAGGCCTAGTCAAAGGGTTTTTGAGAACCTCTTCAACCTGCGATAAAATGATCAGCTGTAGCACCTACTCCACTTTTATGTTTATGTATCTATGTCATTCGGATCTTCCCAAGTTGTACAATGTACTGTTGAGATACCGAATTCAAATAAATCAATACCATACCAACCTTTTCACGCTAGCGAGTGTACTGTACTGATATGGGTGCATGATTGTATACAATCATCATGCTACAGACTACTAGTACTGGTACTCACATCCTTTATTGCTGAACCCACAAATAATTGTGATACAGATTATAAACCATTCGAGGAAGAATAGAAAGCCATACTAGTACGGGTAGTAGTAGTAGTAGTAGTAGTAGTAGTAGTAGTAGTAGTAGTAGTAGTAGTAGTAGTAGTAGTAGTAGTAGTAGTAGTAGTAGTAGTAGTAGTAGTAGTAGTAGTAGTAGTAGTAGTAGTAGTAGTAGTAGTAGTAGTAGTAGTAGTAGTAGTAGTAGTAGTAGTAGTAGTAGTAGTAGTAGTAGTAGTAGTAGTAGTAGTAGTAGTAGTAGTAGTAGTAGTAGTAGTAGTAGTAGTAGTAGTAGTAGTAGTAGTAGTAGTAGTAGTAGTAGTAGTAGTAGTAGTAGTAGTAGTAGTAGTAGTAGTAGTAGTAGTAGTAGTAGTAGTAGTAGTAGTAGTAGTAGTAGTAGTAGTAGTAGTAGTAGTAGTAGTAGTAGTAGTAGTAGTAGTAGTAGTAGTAGTAGTAGTAGTAGTAGTAGTAGTAGTAGTAGTAGTAGTAGTAGTAGTAGTAGTAGTAGTCAGTACAGACTCAGTACCACTACCAGGCTAGGGTCGGGGAGGAGCTGCAGCTACCCGGAGTCGTGTTGTGTGTAGATCTACCTACTTATACATACATGTACTATTGTACTACTATTCTATTCACTGATCTGATTCTGTACACCAGGTATACACGCAGACTCGCAGACACTTCGACTACCGGTACTACTAGTACTAGTACTACAGTACTTAGTACACAGAGTGTAGTCAACCCACGTCCGCGCGCTCGGTCGACGTCGTGTATCGACGATGCACTTCTTCCATATTCCATGACCATAAGGCATAATTGCCCGTCAGAGAGTCCGGCCGACCGTAGCATACTTCATAGACAGGCGTGTGTGCTTTTGACTACAACTATTACTTACAAGTTACACAAACAGTGTACATGACTAGACTGTACGACTAGCTGGTACATCCTACCGACGAGCTGAGTGAGTGGGAATGCAACGCTATGCGCGTGCGCGATATGCCGTCACGTTACGTAGATCTACGTGGGAACCAACTTAGGGCAACTACAGTCAGTACAAAGGATCACAATCATAATTATCGGTCTACTCATTGCATGCTCGTTCCAACTACTCAGTACTTCCAAGCAGAGAGTTATGCACAATACATGAAGGGCTTCATTGCAAAACGAGATAAATCCATTTTGACCAATTTTCAGGAGGAGCGATTTTCTGTGATCAACAACTGGGTGGGTTTGGGTCAAATCTAACTTAGCAGATGAGAAGAGTAGGGTGATGTATGCAAATACAGACTTTCTCAAAAATCAGGAGCCATCCATTTTCTCAAGCAAGGTGATTCTTCATTATTTTCGGGCAAAACCAGACCACGTCGCCGGACTAATCAGTATTATGAGATTAGAAAATGCAAGTGCAACGACTTCACTGAGTTGAGAACTCTGAAGGAGCTCACCGGCAACAGCACTGCCAGCAGCAGCGTCGTCCCTCCCTGACGCCTCCAGCATACTGCCCTTTTCGGTTTCGAAAGCGAAAAAACAACAGCTACGAAGAAGATGATACAAAAAGAACGAAATGACAACGTAGATGTAGCTGCTACAAAGCAACAACACGAAAACACTGTACTTTGAACTCTGACATCGACATTTTGCACAGACTCAGTTTGTAGTCGCGATGTTTGCCACGTGCTGCGCCAGCACTCGCTGGCTTGTCACAGGTCACGCTGGCCCGCGCGACAGGATATGTCGCACTTTGCTCGAACACATCGGTGGTGTTTATCGCGTTTTGCAGTAGAACGTCAACTTCAACGTTGATTTTCAGTGGGATATGTCTCGTTTTGGAGAATTCTTTTTGGCCACCAGATGCAGTGATCCCTACTGATTCGATTGACACCGAAAACGCCATATGCATGAGATTGGCGTTTAGCGCGTTTTGGAATGAAGCCATTCACATGTATCTACTCAAACAAGAGATTCAAGTCAAGAACTGAGTGCAGCCCGCTGAACTCTCGCACCGACCCGGCCGGATCGCGGAGCGGAGTCTCTCTCTGCGTGACCAAGGTGACAGTGTGTCAGTGATGATAAAGCCTCTTCTACGGGCAAACAAACACAATTATTATTGTTTCCTATGATGGATGATTGGAGTGCAACTCACATACTGAACACAATTGCACGAATTGTGACGAAAGGTAGAAAGTGGTAGAGAGTGGTGAGGAGTGAGGACCCCACTCGAATACAATGTACAGGAGTGAGAACTGAGATAGAAGGAGGGAGGCCGTACATGTGCATGTAACAATATTACATGTAGTGTATAATTATTATTATCATAGAAAGGAAAGGAAATGCGCTGTGACATTACAATAATTACATGTCTGTCACCTACATGTACATGTACATGTAGCAATTTGTGTGATTGACTCGACTAGTCTGCTAGAACTGAGTCGACAGTGCTTTTACACGTAGGTCTACACCGTGATTCGTGGAATCGACATTTTAACGATATACATACAGTCAGATAGTGCCACAACAAGGCACAGAACTGCCAGGGATGAGACATTCAATGACCTGTACAATCATGTACATGTTATTTATATAACCTACTAAACACTGGTTAAAAAACCGGTAT